AGCCTTTACTAATGATACTATACATTAACATGTAACGGATGTGTGTCACAAAAAAAGCAATGCCTGGCTAGTTTTACAAAGCTGCATAACATACACAGCACTGTCTGCTATTTGGATAGCTGCCACCAAACATATTCTAAATTATGCTTCTTTCCCAGGACTCTAAAGGCTCTGTCATTTAAACAACATTTTTTTTTTCATTTTAAGCGTTATTCTTAATATTTTAGGAAACAAACTTGTTATAGCATTAAATTGGGAAAAACATAGATATGGCATACTGTACTGTATATGTCAATGTTTTCTTCAACACATTTTTTTTTAATAAACATTTCTTACTATCTTCTAAAATAAGAAAAATAGATTCTTGTTATTCCAGTGCACATCACATTAATCGTAATACTGAAACCCTTTGAATAATTCTTGACTGATATTTTGGTAACAAAATGCATTATGTTTTAGGTACAAATGGACTTCTTTAAACTGTATTTACATATGACAAAAACATTTTGGGTATCTATAAAACATGGGCCTTTTGGGGAGCATAAACTATTTTAAAGAAGGAAAACAGAAGAAATTTATATGACCACAGATATTAATAAAGAAGATTTTCATCTGACCATAAAAAGCCATAACACAGTAAAATAACAGTAGCTACTGCTGCTGACATCACAAGCAGACAAATAACAAAATGTTGGAATTATTTGCAACAGTGATAGGAAAGTTTACAAAAGAAAGACAAGCTAAATGTTAAGCATAATGTTTAAAAAAAAAATGGAATCTGTAAAAAAGTATAATGTTGTTCCCTAACTTAAATGTTTTGTTTATCTTAAAGCAAATAAGTAAAGTTACAATAATAATGCACTTCAGGTTTCGGTCTTGCATGAGTTTGAACTGAACCCAAGTCATTTGCAGCTTGGGAAAATGGCAAACTAATACTGCTGTCTGCCACTATTGCAATAAATGACCACAATGAACTTCCTGACCTTTGAATTGTGATGGCTTAGAAAAGTCAGTAAAAAGGTTTTCTTATGTGCCAACCTCTTCCATATAAAAGTTAGGGTTCCCAGCAGGCTTTTGTCACAGTGTGTTGGAAGCTTGGACCACTAGGGTGAGGGGGGGGGAATGGAGAGGCCATCTTCTGCAGAAAGAGTCCCACAGATTCAGAGAGTGAAATAGTATGGGGCTAAAGACCACCTTGTTGTGTTTTGGAGAGACCCACAAAACTAAACCAATTTGTAATGGAGTACAAGCCTGAACCTCAAGTGAGATCCAGTCAGGCCAATAATGGATAGAATGAAGTTGAAGTAATTGGGTCAACTGAGCCATGGTATAGTACTTCCTGAAATCAAGGACCCCCAGTCTACCCAATTCTTTGAGGGTATATAGTGTGTGTGCGTAAGGCTAATATGCAATTTATGGAACCCCAAATGAATTTAAAAACACTTGCTTGACATTTATTAAGTGCAGTTGCAGGTACTGGAATGGGAAGGGTCCTAAAATTATATAATGGTTTAGGCAAAACCACCATTGCAACTGAAGCAGTTCTGCCCATCTAGGACAAAGATGCAGTTGACCATGTCTTCACCTCCTCCATTAGTTTGTTGAATAAGGCTGGGTAGTTTGCTTTTTATAGGGAGGCCACATGAGAGGTAAGCTTGATACCTAGATAAGGTAGCAAGGTGGGTTGTCAAGAAATGGAATATTGGGATTTGAGTCTTCTAAGTTGATATTTATTGCCCCCGATTTATCCCAATTGACTAATAAACTAGAGATCTGTCCAAATCATTTCAGAAGGGACATCAAGTTTGGAAGAATAGTGTGGGGGAAGGTTATGAATACCTACAAATCATCAGCAAATAATGCAAATTTATTAACTCTGGTCCCAGTAGTTTTACCTAAAATATTAGAGTCTGCACGTATTGCTATAGGCAAAGTCTCTATTGCAATGAAAAAAGAGAGGGAATAATGGACATCCTAAGGCACTGGTGATAGACTCAGATTTATAGCCTCTCAGTGATATTTGAGCTGCTGAATAGGTATAAAAAGAGCTGTTGAATAGCTATCAGGGCATGGAATTTGGCTAAAGTTCCATCTAGCCAGGATTCTGAAAAGGTAGAACCAAGAGATGTCTTTAAAACGCTTTGCATATATCCAACAATAACAACATTCCCTTACTAGGTCCTTCTCCATCCCAAAAGGAATACAAAAGAGAAATTGAATCAATTGACCATTGCACCTGATCTGCCACCTGCTTATATGGGAGATAACCCACTTGATATATGTGGATATACTGGGCTATAAAGTCGTTCACCCTAATTTTTGTTAGACACGTTAAATCACAATTAATGAATGAAATTGGCCTGTAATTTGTGACATCACTGGGTCTATGTGAGGTTTCCATATGAGACTAATAATAGCCTTATTAAAGTTGAGATCTATTAAACATCTGTTGAGCCCCTTTTTGTACAGCATTTAAACAATTAACGAAATGAGGAGCTAACCGTGGACCAAATTTTTCATCATATAGAGCCATAAAACCCTTAGATTCTGGTGCTTTAGCTAGTGGGGCTTGTTTGAGGGCCAAAAAGACTTTGACAGAGATTTCCCTTTCCATTATACAGTAGATTTATGCTCATCTGACAATGAGGGAACAGATTACCAGAAAATGAAATTTTAGAAGTCCTGCCGAACTGCTGGAAATGTGCTCATCTTTGTACAGATTTTACAAAGGAATAGAATGGAATTGTTTTAAGACCGACTGGGGGGGTTCTGTGTAAAGGACCCATGCGAATTTTTGGGATGGGGGGCTGGTTATCTTGGAGTCAGTTTCCTGCCCAATAGTTTACCTGGCTTGTCTGCCTAAGAATAAAATTTGTCTTGGGTCCCCTGGAAATGCTTCTCTGCTTTTGTGATACCGCAGACATTTAGCTCCAGCCTGAACATTGTGACTAAATGTATAATCATACTTAGTAGCATTGAATTCCTGCCAAACATCCACTAAATCATATTGAATAAGTGATTTTAACAAATTTGGTAACCAGCTTAGTGGGTCTTAGAATTTTAGATCCCAGGGTTCTCATTTTGTCTAGCACTAACACCACTGCTCACCATGGAGTTTAGACTCTATACCATGAATTCAGTTACCTAATTCCTTAAATTCTTGTTTTTACTCCTGTTATTTTTTTGCTTGCCTTTTCAAGATCCTGCTCTAGTAGTGTAGAAAAACAGACTAAATAATAGGGTTGATTGAGGGAGTCTCTGCCTGGAGATTCCCTCTAACAATATAGTGAGGATATGGCAAGGATCAGGGAGGACTCACCCAAGTCCATGCAGGGGTCATCCACTTGCTGGGTCTTCAATCCACCTGCAGGCTGTGAAGACAGGGAGAGGAGCAGTGCTGCAGCTGCCATGTTGTCTCAGTGGCCTGGGTGTCCTTCTCAGACTGTCTGGAGGAGAAGGTCTTTGGGCTTCCTCTGTGCCATAAAAGTGTGGCCAGAGGTTGCTGCAGGCTGTTCAAGTGAGTATCAGATTGTTGGGTCCTCCTGCTCAGCTGTGAACAGTGGCATACATGCTCCCTGGTATATTTTATTTCAATATAAATTAGTACTGACCGTGATACCTTTTTTATTTGCACTAACATACAATTTTGAGGACAAGCTTTCAGGGTATGTCCCCTTCTTCAAAATTAGCAAAGGTTTTTTTTATTTTGATGTAAGCACGTGAACTTGTTGCGAGCACAGGCAAAACCGCCTCTTGTTTGCAGCACATTACCACAGACCTCTGTGATACAGTTCAGTATACCAAATAACCATATTGTTAAGTGTACCCAAAGCACCACATCCACAATCTCCTTATTTCCATAATTGCTAATACAGTTAGACGATTGCATGTATTCATAATGTCAGGGAGAGGCAGAGTTATGCACATGCAGCTAGAAGGGTGTACACAGGCTCTGAATCTGCAAATAAAAAAATGCTCCACTTCAAAGAGGAGTTGTGGAAGAACCTCTTGGCCTCTTTTACAGATAGTGACAGTATTTCCTCTACTACACAGCAGGACTTTGATCCTCAGAGTGCTGAAAGGTGAGCAAAAGTGGCGGTGGCTGTCTTAGCCACACTTTTAGTTGTTATTCTAACCAGAGGTGAGAGGTCTAAACACACACACAGGCAGCACCTAAACTATATTATTGCAGGCTATTTGGGGGTCAATTCATATACTTTCATTTGTGTTTCAATAAAAAAACTTGTCTAGTCTCTCTCTCTTAAATTGGGATCTAGTAAAAATTTGCATACATCTTGTTCAACAAGTCTGTCAATATTTCTTGCTTTTGTCCTAGAAATAATACACTGTAATTTTTAATTCACTATGAAACCTGACTGGTCTCTCCCTCTTAAACTGAAGCCTACTAAAGCTTCTTACACAGTATGCAAGTCTGTACAATATTTCTGGGTTTTTTTTTCTCTGATATAATACACTGTAACTTTTATAGTAATATGACGGACGCAAGGTGGTTCTCTCGTTCTGAGAGGACGTCATATATATATACGGATCAAATTCAAAATCCTAACGCTGACGTACAAAGCTGTCCACCATACTGCCCCGAACTACATCACTGACCTAATATCCAAGTACCGCCCAGCACGCACACTCCGCTCCTCACAAGACCTCCTTCTCTCTAGTTCCCTGGTCTCCTCCTCCCATGCCCGCCTCCAGGACTTCTCCAGGGTGTCACCCATCCTCTGGAACTCCCTGCCCCAACCCATCAGATTATCACCTACTCTCCTCTCCTTTAGGCGCACCCTGAAAACCCATCTCTTCAGGGAACCCTACCCCACCCCCTGCTAACTTGCCGACCTCCTCCACTTTTCCTACCACTCCATCCCCCACAGCTATCTCTTCCTGTGCCACCATCCCCTCCCTCCTAGATTGTAAGCTCAAAAGAGCAGGGCCCTCGAACCCCTCGTGTATCACATTGTATTGGTATTGTTCTGTCACGTGTTCTGTCCCCCTTTGTAATGTACAGTGCTGAGCGAACTATTGGCGCTTTATAAATACTGTATAATAATAATATAATAATAATATGATGTCCTCCCATTCTAACCGCACATGCGTGGCTCCTAGAGCGTACAGCGCGGCGATCGGCGATGCACTGTGTCCCTCAGACACAGCAGATCACCAATCCATGGAAAGAGCTGAAGATGTTGGCTCGGTCATGTGATCAGCTGTGTCCAATCACAGCTGATCACACGTAAACAGGGAAATGCCGGTTAACGGCATTTCTCTCCCCACGAGCTGTCACGCTGACAGCTCGTGAGGAGAGGAGAGCCGGTAATCGGCATTCCTCGGAGGGGACATGTACACAGATCATCAGAGCACTGATGATCAGTGTGCCCTGAATATCTGTGTAGCCCCAGCAGCGCCACCTGTCAGTGTCCATAAGTGCCAGCTCTCAGTGCTCATCCATGCCGTCTGCCATTGCCCATCAGTGCCACATTTCAGTGCCCATCAGTGCCACGTCAATACCACATATCAGTGCCCATCTGAGCTGCCTTTCAGTGTCACCCATCAGTGCCAGTCAGTGCCACCTATCAATGCCAGTCAGTGCCACCTAGCAGTGCTGCCAATCAATGCCACCTATCAGTGCCAGTCAGTACCGCCTATCAGTGTGCATCAGTGCCCATCAGTGCTGCCTATCAGTGCTGCCTAACAGTGCCAGTCAGTGCCACCTAACAGTGCCAGTCAGTGCTGCCTATCAGCGCCAGTCAGTGCCACCTATCAGTGCCATATATGAGTGCTGCCTTTCAGTGCCCATCAGTGATGTCTGTCAATGCCCATCAGTGCCACCTACCAGTGCCTCCTTATCAGTGCCCATCAGTGTCCATCAGTGCAGCCTATCAGTGCCCATCACTGCAGCCTAATTAGTGCACATCAGTGAAGGAGAAAAATCACAAAAATTACACAATTTTATAACAAAAACTAAGAAAAAATATTTTTTTCAAAATTTTCAGTGGTTTTTAGTTTGTTTAAGAAAAAATAAAAAACCCAGAGGTGATTAAATACCACCAAAATAAATCTCTGTCACAAAAAAATTATAAAAATTTGGAATGGGTACAGTGTTGCATGACCGCACAATTGTCATTCAAAGTGCAACAGTGCTAAAAGCTGGAAATTGGCCTGGGCAGGAAAGGGGTAGAAAGTACAGGGCACCTGTAGGCTAGTGGTTAAATTGTATTTATTTAAAAAAAAACTTTGTCTCTCCCTCTTGCATTGAGGCCTACAAAAGCTGTTGCTTTGCACTAGTGTCTTAAAGTAGTTGTAAAACCTTACTGAATGCCATTTAGGAAAAAATACTGTGTATTTTGGTGCATTTGAATATTTGTTTTTACAGCCAATCCCTAGGTTTACATGGATTTTATAGCTTATCAGCGGCATATGTGTTTTCATAGGGTATATTTGCTAATTTTTCCTACCTGTAAAAGGTAAATACTTTTGGAAAATCAGTGTAGTATTCACAGAAAAGCGCACCAACATAGACTCCTACTTTTTTTTCTTGGGAAGGTTTGTAACAGGCTTTCAGAAAACATTCAGGACAAAGGGGCAGAACATTGTCACTCCATAACAAAAGAACATTTTGTATCAGAATCATTAACTGTTGAAACTTAGGTATATGACATTTTAGTGATTTTGTTTACATTTACTTTAACAAACTTTTCTGGTGTTGCTTGGATTGCAGTACATTTTCTAATGTGCTCCCCTACCCATTTCCACTGATCTCACCCAAAAATCCCATTTATCTGTCCTCCACAAATTAATAATATAGACATAGAAGAGTGATGGCAGAAAAAAAGACTAAGTGGTCTACTGAGTCTGACTAGAAAATAAAAACAGAGGGCACACCAGCATTGTCTTTGGGATGTCTTTATTAAAAAGATAAAAACATGCATACTCAAAAACAGCATAAATAAACAAGCACATCAGTATCCACAGTGTCCTGGACTACCAGGTCAATCGAACAAGTCTCAACCACTAGAAGACCCTCTGAATGACTGAATCATTTTGAGGACAGGTACTCTTTTCCTTTGAGACAATTGGTGTTGCACAACATTGTCGTCATGGTGTGCAATGGCATCATGCAGTGGAGGACCACCAATACACACAGAATGGCAACACATTGCTGAGGCAACGTGTGGGGACGATAGACACCAGGCTATTACCCTGCCAATGGACCACTCCGGAAGCTGGGGAAGTCCGTTCCATCTCCCCAAGACCAAAAACTCAGCCACAACCGATGAGCCCAATCCTATTGCCGTGGCTCACGCGTGTTTTTGGTGCCGCCAATGGTAATCCACAAACCAGGGACCCCTAGTGGTGACAAAGGCATGATTGTACAGATGACAAATACAATAGCATTATAATATGTATGCATGCCCCTTAGGCTTATCGTATTATCAATTAGCATGATAGTAAATATTTACATAATGTAATTTGATTAAACCAACGTTAATGTTGTACATTTTTGCTGCACTGTTACTGCTATAATTATATATATAATAGGAAACATTTGGATATTGAATGAACCAGATGGTAAAAATGGTCATATGCCAGACTATGTAATTGTCATACAACTACTTTATTTGATAGCTGCACATTAGAAAAATACAGCTTCAACACTTGGGCTGCAAATGTCACTTAAAAAAAAAAAAAAAAAAAAAACTTCAGAAGAAATAATTTTCCCTTTGGACCATTTTGTTCAAAAATCAAATAATGAAAAGTAATATATTATGATCCTTCTGTTTCCCTGTACCCTGTCCCATGTATTGGGTTTTCCTCTTTAGAGACATCCCTCAAGGTTAATTCAGTGATTCTCTTTTTTAAATGAACTATATTTATTTTTTTATTTATTGTTGATTACAGGCACTTATATATTGTGCCATCAATTTATGCAGGGCTTTACATATATATTGTACATTCACATCAGTCCCTAAACCTCAAGGGTCGTACGATCTAAGGTGTCAGTAGTATGACTCTAGAATCATTGGATATTTCCGAAGTTTGGCTGCAGGTGGTTTTGGGTGTGTGAACAGATGCAATTCCTATAACCAGCTTGCACAGTGTGAACCAGGGATAAATGATTGGGTTGGTTTCTAAAAGAATTAAATATAAGCAAGTACTAATATTTATAATATAACAAATATTACTGTAGAATTATGATCCTGGAAATTTTTTATTTGTCTTTAGGGAATGGGGGAGGATAATTTCCCTGTTAGAAATAACTGGGCCTTGCTTTTTGCCTTCCTCTGTATTCATTGCTTATTTAGTTTTTTTTTTTCTTCATCTGAGCATGGGTGTGCAGATTCAGTACCAGGAAAGTGAAAACTGAATAGTTTGCTGGGGTTTGCAAAGTCCCAAAAGCTCCCTCATGCAGAAAAAAATTTGATAGTTTAGGTATTTGGTTACCAGGCCCTCTTTCCTTTGCCTATATCTATATTAGCACCATGAGGGGATAAAAAAGAATTGAAAGTCGAAAAACTGTACTCTCTGTCGGAGCTCAGCATTCAACTTACAATGACCAGGAATGTACTGTATATAATGTTCCCACCCTTGCCTTTTAATAGAATAGCTACTCATAAGTTGGGGGTGAAGGGGTTTATGTACAATAGGTTAGGTTGCCGTTTAAGCTGTCTGATGTACATTGAAGGGAAGGAGAAAGTTTTAAGCCTATAAATGCATTGCTCTCTAATTCTGCAGCTACTGTTTCCCAGAGGGTTAAAAAATAGATGGAAAGGTACACTATATTGCCAATTACCTATACTGGGACACCCATCAAAATCTTTTGATTCAGGTGTTCCAATCACCTCCATGGCCACAGGTGTATAAAATCAAGTTCTACAAACATTTGTGAAAGAATGGGGTGCTTTCAGTAGCTCAGTGAATTCAAGCATGGTACACTGATAGGTTGCCACCTGTGCAATAAGTCCATCCTGAAATTTCCTTGCTACTAAATATTCTACAGTCAACTGTTAGTGGTATTATAACAAAGTGGAAGCAACGGGGAACAACTGCAACTCAGGCACGAAGTGGTAGACCATGTAAAATGACAGAGCGGGGTCAGCGCATGCTGAAGCGCACAGTGTACAGAAGTTATCAACTGCCTTAAGAGTCAATAGCTATAGACCTCCAAACTTTGTGTGGCCTTCAGATTAGCACAACAACAGTGTGTAGAGAGCTTCATGGAATGGGTTTCCATGGCCAAGCAGCTGCATCCAAGCCTTACATCACCAAGTGTGATGCAAAGCATCAGATGCAGTGGTGTAAAGCACACCACCACTGGACTCCAGAGCAGTGGAGACATGTTCTCTGGAGTGATGAATCATGTTTCTCTGTCTGGCAATGTGATGAATGTTTTGGGTTTGGCAGTTGCCAGGAGAATGGTACTTGCCTGAATGCACTGTTCCAAGTGTAAACTTTGGTGGAGGGGGGACTATGGTGTGGGGTTGTTTTTCAGGGGTTGGGCTTGGCCCCTTAGTTTCAGTGAAGGGAACTCTTAAGGCGTCAGCATACAAAGACATTTGGACAATTTCATGCTCCCAACTTTGTGTCAACAGTTTGGGGATGGCCCCTTCCTGTTCTAAAATTGATTTTATGTAGAGGGGTAAAATTTGGGGCCCACTTTATTTTTAAAATATGTCCCACACTCCATAGACAGGCAACAGAAATTAAGAAAATGTTTTTCAAGCCCTCCTCGAACTGAACCCAAGTTCAGTTAGGCTGATAACTATACCTGAAAATGACAAATCATGTTAGAGCAAATACTTTCATATAAAATATGTGAAAATGCATTTACAAAATACAAAATTCAGGGAATTTAAGCTTTCACTGTTCAGCTCCATATGACTTTGCTCTGATTTTGTTCAATGCTTTTTTATCATATAAATTTGGTATATGACAAATCAGTAATAATTCACTTTAGGGTAAAACTAACTTCAAATCCTTCTCACCCGACCTAGTGTAAGATGAAGGCCAAGCAGAATCCCTATTATCCTGGAAGGACATCATATGACATCCTCCCAGGATCATGCCTCACGTGCTCCCCACGGGCTGTGCTCCACCGGACATGGTCGATGACGGATCCCTACACAGGCCCATTGCCAGTGTCATGTGATCACTGTAATCAATCACAGCTGATCACAACAAAAACTACTGAATGAATCAGTTTCATTCAGTAAAAATGCTTGCTTAGGCCAGTGAAATTCATTGGTATAAGCAATCATAATGTGTAAGCAAAAATAAATCACTTCCCCAGATTGGTACAATGTTACTATGATAACATTGCATTGTTTTGGTCACAGGAGTAGAAAAAAAAATGGATTAAGAATAAAAAAATATTTAAAAATGGAAAAAATAATTATTTTATTTTATTTTTACATACAGGCGCCAGTCAGTGTCCCTGATCAACACCACACCAGTTATATGATGACACTGTACTTTATTTGTGACAGTATGTAAAAAAAAAGTGATTTTTTTTTTTCATTTCATGACAAAAAATGACAACTTTAAAAAACTTGACATGCCTCTTACTAAATACCTCTGACTGGGGGGTATTTGTACTGTCATGGCTTTTTTGGGCCTCAAGAAATGAGATCGGCCATCAGTACATCAGGATTTATCGATTTTTAGATATATACCAAAGTTTGTGTATACCTTTCTTACCAACTAAATATTAAACCCTGACTTGGGTTATTTTCACCAAAAAATGTAGCAGAATACA